ACCGCAGAGCAATGTAAAAAATCTTCAGCAGCACTTCCTTGAGCTTTTTTTTAGTGAAAACAGCCTTGAGTATTCTTTCCCTCCAAATTCGGAGCGTGCAATTTTTGAAGCACAGCCCTGCGGAGTGAGTTAACCGGCCACAGTCGGATAGCTGTGTAAACAAAGCCTTCTGTGCAGTCTGGAGATTGTTGCATTTGCATAAGGTGTGTTTGAGGGAGGAGCATAAAGGAAGAACATCACAGATGAGTTGGAGTAGGGAGGAGCTGCAGAGATGGACTAAACCATTCCAGTTTTTTATACAGTGTACCGGTACCTTAAAGTGATTATCCATCCCCAGCTTAATTCCAGTAACCAGGGTGTGGCCTGCCAAAAGAGTGCACCGCAAAATTCCCACTCCGTTTGCACAATGTTATCACCGGGTAGTTAAGTGTAGACATCGTTTTATCTCCCCGTTTCTGTTCGCTGAGAGGTCTCATGAAAAGGCGTCAAGACAGGAAGGAAGTTATTGAGAAAGTAGAAACACAAGTACTTTCCTGCCTGATGAGAGTTGAAAGCAGAAACTTGTGTGTATCTGTTTGCACAGTTAGGTGTGGGTGGAAGTTATGCTTTAACTAGAAATTCTGAAAACGTTTGAACTAAATCAAAGATTTTTATTTTCAAAATTGTCCCAGCCAAAAAAAAAACCTGTGAACATTAAAAATTTATTTTTAAAAATCAGAAACAGTGAGGCAAAGTCATCGATTAAAAGATGCCAAAGAATCCAGAGGACAGTAAACACGGCGAGGACTAAGGTCATGTAAGAGGATGGCCTTTTGAACTGGTCATGAGACGGGAGAAAAGTCTTGTTCGTTTCAGATCTGTGTTTGTTCTGATAAACTGGCAGCAGCTGGACGGGTTTCATTAGAGATCCAAACGCTCCAGGCTCTTTGTGACATGGTGTTTATGGAGGAGGACTGGACTAATGAGAAGTGAAGAGGACAGGCTTCCTTCAGAAGAACAGAAGCTACGCAGTAGACGCATGCAGAGAAAACCCAGTAAATCACAGTAATGCACATTTGGTATCCCAGAGGGATATATCAAACACGCTTCACGTGGAAAGACAGATGTGACAGAAGGTCTGTGAGCGTTTTTACATATTTAGAAGTGGAGCTAAATAGATTTAGCACCAACCATTTATTGCGGTAATAAATGAACACAATGAACATTATTAATTACAACATCAAAAGCAAGCTTTTGCAATAAGCACACTGGAAATGATGAAAATTAAAGAGTACGTGTGTTGTTAGTACGGTAGTTAAGCACAGTAAACGACTCCAGATGGGGAAGAGGAAAGATAAAGAAAGTTGGAGGAGTAAACACTATCAGTAAGAGGAAAAATGCAACGCATTACTAAGCTCCTATATTCTTTCTTAAAAATAAATCAATAAATACTGAAGATAACCCCTTCTGAAGACTTATGGGAAAATGAAAGGTTTGACCCAACAGTGTCTGTAAATATATAAGAATCAGTCTTATCTGAAAAGAACTGATTTCTTAAATTCCCAAACTGTGAGCAATGTGAGAATTAAATAATGAATGGCATTATACAAGCAGAATGCTTATTTTATTCTTTGTGTGTTACATATTAAAAAGGTGGCCTCAAGAGTGAAAAATATATTTAATAATACGACCAAGAATGCCACTAAGTCAACAAAAAATGAAAACTTAAAAAGACTTTAAATCTATTTCAGTCTTGCTTTTCCACGTGCTTCTTTGTGCAGATAACCGTGCAAAACAAGGTGTTGCTTAAAAAATATGCATAGATGTGAAGCATGTTGAGCTACACACGCACATTCACAAGAGTAGATAAGCGGTTATCAATGCAAATTAGAAAGAAGAGACTAAAGTGTAAGTGGTACTAAGTAGTACCAACAGCAAGTAAAATGACCCAACCCAGACGTACAGAAGACAAACCAAGACATAACGATGAGTAAAAAGCTGAGCAGAGATGGTTCTGAGAAAGCTGCGTGTTGCAGAATCCAGAAGGCCTGGATATTGGGGGTTGTAAAACGTGGGCAGAAGTTGAGCCTTCGGGAAATAGTTGCTCAAGAATGTTCACGTCAAGTCCACACTTGTTGAACTGAAAGGGTACCACAGGCATTCACAGTGGAGTTCAAGCACACACACATACACACACACACTGCGTCTGTAACATACGATCACATGGTGTGTTGTAACCCTCCAGACTCAAATCACAATATGTTGTAGAATATGTACACTACAACGTGTAAGCTGCTAAAATGAAGGCAACAGCTGGCATTTTTCTTATCCGACAGAACTGAGTGCATGAACTTTATAATTATAAATGAGTTGGACTTAATTTGTAAATGCCAATTTAAATAAAATACACAACCCCAGCAGTTTGTGTTATTTTTCTTTCTGTGTGTGTTTGTGGACATCAGTGCGTCGTGGCGCCTCTGTTGTCTCCCTCTGCTGGGTACTCCATGAAACTGCAACTTGTTTTGACCATTACCTGTACAGCATACAAAATCAGGATTCCAACAGAATAGTTTGATACATACAAACAAAATTACACCAAGCTAATAAAAGTCAAGATTTTCATCCAAGGTTACTTTAAATTGGTCAGGCAGGCATTTGTGTAGCACTTTAAAATGCCCATAAACATAGTGCTTAATTAATAAGTTAAGGCAAAAAGCTGTTCCTAAAGTCATTATGCAACTTAGCATTGCTAAGCCATAAAATTTATGCAAATGCAATGTTATGATGGTATAGCTCAGCTACATGCAGGTTTACCCGTTAGGAAAACTTGTAAAACTGAATGAAGTTACTTTTTGTGTGAACGGACTGAACAGCTGCCCAGCTTTGTCCCATTTTCTGAGGTATTTTGGTCCTGTCCTAAAAAGACAGACTTGGTTCTTCAGGGACAAAAGGATCACTTGTGTTCCCCAGACTACAGACTATAATTAGATTTTTGCAAATTACTGGTAGATATCTGATTATGTTTCAACCGACGTGTTTCTAAAACTCCTGTTGCATGTCTGACAAATTTAATAAGTGGTACACCGATGTCACCAGTTGCTGAGGGATTTGAATAGTGAATGTTTGTAGTTTTGGAGACAAGTGTTTTTCTAGACTGGAGCTGAACAGGGAATGAAAGTAAACCTTAATGGTTTTTGGTGCAAGAGATTCAAGTGTGTAGGAGTAACACTGTGTAGAAGGACGGAAATATTTTTTCGAGTGACAAATCCTGGGGAGTGGAGGGAGAAATTTTATCCACCACCAGGTACAATGGTGCAGTCAGGGGGTGGCCAGTGGTGTCCTCTATAGAGTCATCTTCCACCACCCCAATCATTTGAGGAAACTATACTTTTAAGCAATAAAAAAAAATAAAAAATTTAAAAGCAGTTTCCTCAAATGATCGGCTGTGGCCGGTTTATATACATACAAAAACACACACACACACACACACGACGGCAGCCATCTTTGATTTTGACGTGGCAACCCAATTTTTGATAGGAACTTTTTTTACACCTACATGCAGCCACACACCAAAACTGAATTTAATTTAATTATTTTCAAGTTATCATGCTTACAAATGGAATGGCGGATGAAAAGTTATTCCATTTCCCTTTTTTTGCTCAGCAACAGGGGACAATAAATAAATACATTTAACTACTGGCCTTCATCCATCCATCCATTATCTTTATCCATTTCTTCCTTTTCGGGTCGCGGGGTCACTAGTGCCCATTTCTAGCCATCACTGTGCGAGAGGCAGGGTACACCCTGGACAGGTCTCCAGTCCATCACAGGGACACATAGAGACAAACGAGACAAACCACCATTCACTCCCTCACTTACACCTAGGGACAATTTAGAGTTACCAGTCATATCAGTCTAACATGCATGTTTTTGGTCTGTGGGAGGAAACTGGAGTATCTGGAGAAAACCCACGCATGCACGGAGAGAACATGCAAACTACACCCAGAAAAGTCCCCAGACCAGGATTTGAACCAGAGCAACTTGCTCGCTGAGAGGCAGCAGCTCTACCAGTTGTGCCACTGTGCTGCCCCACTACTGGCCTTTATATAAAATAAAATAAAAAATCTATTAAACCCATTTAAGGAAAAAACAGTTTTTTTTTAAATAAATGTTACATAACTAACAGCAGTGTTTGTTAGACATGAAGACGTCTCATATTTTTACAAATAACGGGTGAATTTCTATGTCCTGATTTACAAAATGCCCTAAATACTCTCATGTTGTTCATTTCTATTTGACAGCAGAATCATTTAACAATCTCACTACGACAATATACACCAGTCACACAAGTCTGAATTCACAAAAAATGTGTGGTTATATGAGCAAAATATAATCTTTAAGCTCATCTTTCAAGGCACAGACATGCGATATAATTTTACTTTTGAATTAGAAAATCTCAAGATGTTTAAAATTTGATGAACATTTACAATAAAGTGTTCAACAGCTGTAACATATCTACCGGCAAGTCAAAAATGTCTTGTTTATATTTGAGAGTTAAATTTTGGATATAATATACCTTCTCTTAAAACAAAACCATTAAATTCAACATAAATATAATTAGAGTCTGGTCAAAATATCTGACGGTGTTCAAGAGATGATGTAAAGCTAAAAAAATAAAACACCAGAAATTATGCGTTTTATACATCTTGTCAAATAATTGTTTCAAACAAACTGTGTAAAAGGGCTCGTGTTAACATAAAGTGAGTATAGCTACACTGCTGAGGGATGCTGGGGGAATTGTAAAACGAGCTTCCTGGATTTCAACTGACTTTAATAGTTTTCCAAAACAAAAGCATTAATGCTCACTCCCCACATCAGCCTTTAAGAGAATTGACTGCATCTGTTAAAACTCTAAATTCTAATTGAAAGAGTCTGAGTTCACACACAGCTAATGTATTTGTAGCAGACATACACCCCAGGACACTCACGGATGCCTTGACTGACTTGTTTGTGCAACATACCTGCAAGAGCTTTAATGCGAGAGCGTTCAAAGAGCCGTGCTGAACTGTTCTCATTGTCCCAGTCGGTCTCCGCTGCCAGGTCCCAGCGGTTGTTGATGTCGTTGTACTGCTGCTGGATCTCCAAGCTGTCAAAGTCCGTTGGTGAGATTGTGCTCATGGTGTCGAGGCTTGGGGAAAACGCATCCAACCTATGAAGTAGAAACGAACATGCAAAAAACATCCAAGGTCAGTGACAGAAGATACAAAACATAACATGAAAAACTAGAAGGCTCCCAAACCTGGCTCTTGACTTAAACTATATATCTATATATTTATAAAGACTCAATCTAAGACACAACTTTAAAAAAGGTAAAACAAATAAAAAGATGTGCATCACACACTTCACACAGCTTCTAAGGTGCACTCTACAGTTATAGGACAGTCAAATGCAAATTGAGGTTGCAACGGCCAGTGTGTTTAAAAGATAGAAACAGTGAGATAAGTTAAGCAACTGTCACCAGGTTAGTCCATTAACCAAATATTTAGTGTAAGTGCTTCTGTAGACCTGGGCAACACATGTAAAATATGACATATGATGATGCACTTGGACCTAAAGTATCCATCATTTACAGATGCTGGGTCATTTTCAGAGAGGTGAAACATGTCCTGAAGTGCTTCGGTTCCATTTACACCAGTCTAAAAAGGTACAGGCTAGATTAGGCTAATTAAGTCTGTGGAAGTGTGCCACACCTCCCTCACAATTTTCCCCACAGTGCAGGAGCTGCTACTCATCAGAAAGCAACAGCGCTCTCTCATCCACAGTAGAAAATCATGTGGAAGTGTTCTGCAATTTGCACATGTGTAGCATTTCTATTCGTCTCTTAAAACGTTTGCTGTAAAATAATCCCAATTTCCATTGTAAAGTGCAGAGTTATCAACCAATCAGAAATGTTCAGCAATACAAGAACCACCCTGAAAGTTCTGGTTGATGTCAAAAATAACCTAGGCTGGTTTTAGTTTAAAAATATCTCCTTTCTGGACAGATGTTTTTAACACCCTGTCCAGATTTCTCAGAGTGGCAGTAACACCTAGTCCTCTCTTGGCTCTTTTTGGCATCAGTGATGAAGAGTTGCCTCCATCAGCCTCCAAAAGGCAGGTGTCGTCTTTTTGTTCCTTGTTAGCGAGGCGTGCAGTTCTAATCAGATGGAAGGGTGTTGTCCCTCCAACTCATAAACAGTGGTTATATGACCTTATGTCATGCTTGGAACTAGTAAAAATAAGGTGTTCTGTTCAGCACTCTACTGGAAAATTAAAAAAAATATGGGAACCCTTTCTTGATGCATTCCAAAATATACATTAATATTTCAGGTGAATTCCTTTATTATTATTATAATTGTTATTAAAATGTGCTCTCCCTTTTTGTCAAGTTTAAGGATGTAATGTGCAGACATAGGGCAGTGACTTGGATAGGAGTGAATGGGATTATTTGGATGAATTTTTGTTTAAGTATGTTGTTTAAACAGAACATAAGTACGACTCCTTTGTACCCACAGATTCCAATTTGTATGTATAAAGAGAAAAACTTTAATAAACAAACGGTGATAAAAAAAAAAAAATCTCCTAAAAACAGTTCGTCCCACATTTTCTCCAGTCAAAAAGTAATCAATTTATCTATTCAATGTTGCACTGCGCTGTAATCGTTGCATTTAGTAACATTAATTTTGGCATTTATGCTTGGCTATACAGTACTGACCGAGTTTAATTTATCGTTACAACTATTTAAAGTTGCTATACCAGGTGTGAAAGATGATTGTGTGTAAATACACATGGTGGCATATTCGAGGAGAATCAGCTGAGAAAGTCAGTCATCCATCTTTACTCGCTTCTCTAATCGGTTCGCGGGGGAGCTGATGCTCAAGTCCAGCGGTCGCTGTGGGGGAGGCGGTGGACAGTCTCCAGAGACCATCAGAGACACATTGAGACAAACAACCATTTACGCTCTCACTCACATCTAGGGACAATTTAGAGATGCCAAGGAACCTGTCATGCATGTTTCTGGTCTGTGGGAGGAAACTGAAGTACAGTATGTGTAGTAAACCCACACATGCACTGAGAACATGCAAACAATACACAGACAGTCTGGGAGGCGAACCTGTAATTTCATTCATTCAACCTTTATTTATAAAGGTTAGTCTCAATGAGCAATCTTCTTGCTGTGAGGCGACAGAACTTACCACACCACCAGATAAATATGTGACATAAATGAGGAAATGTTTTATTTTTCCTGTTGTTTCCTTCAGGTGCGGATGCTCAGCATCACAGTTTCTGAAAACTGAGGATGAATGTAAAACTTTCATTGTGTCTGTTAAACCATTATTATATAGTTATTGGAGTCTCTAAATAAAATGTATTTGGATAGTCCTGAAACAATTTTGACTCAAATATAAATAAAACTTATTTGTAAGTAACAATTTAAATGCACAGTATTTAAAAATGATCAGATTTTGTCTTGCACACTAAGTGATACAAAACAGACCTCTTCCAGCAACAACAAAAAAAAACACTTAGTAAATCCCATTAGAGGCAGATTAAGACGTAGCTTTGAATAGAAACTAAATGCAGGGATTAAAGATGACGGCAGAGAAACACTTCCATGTACCCCCACCCCAGTGACCTTTTACCTCTCCACGCTCAGGAGCGATTTACACCCCACTATGATAATCTGTATTGTAGGATACATTAAAGTGTGACAAATCCTGATGAATTACCATAATGGTGCATTTAAAAAAAATACAATTAAAAGTTGGTCCTTAAATATCAAATTACTTTGAAAATCATGTCTGTCTGGCGTATTATGACAAGGTAAAGGTTTAAATTTAGTGACGTAAAAAAACAATTGATTTCTTACAATGTGTCACAAAGAAAATGCTCTCTCCATGACAATCCATTTGCGGGAGTGCTTCAGGGGTGGGGGGTTGGTCGGGGAGCAGCACAACTGAGGTCACGGGAGCCTCGAAGTGGCAATCCTCCCCCAGTTATGGGCAGGAAGAGGCTCAGCTCAGTGTCTCCACTAATCACTCTTCAATGGATCAGACAAAACAATCCACTGACCTACTATGAAACTGAACTCATCCTCACAAACACAATGTGTCACACAAAAAAAGCCACACACGCGAGCCGAGTTGACCGATTAAACCCTTTTATACAAAGCGTGTAAGCATGTAGTGCATTAGTAGTACTCAGCAGACAAAATGGATCAGCTCAACATTTTGTCATGGTACCATGCATGCTGTGCAGAGGTCCAATAAAAATAAAGTTTAAAATTGCACTGAAAAAGACACAATAGATAGCTTGGTAAACGGAAGCCTTCTGAGCGTAATTCCTTAAAAATGTCTAACACTGTTTTGTGGTCCAGAAGCAATATTACACTACCCATACAACACAGATCATAAGAGTTCTGCATACAGCAAATTATACACCCATCAACAAACTATTATACAGCAATACAGAAATCTATAGCAATAGCCATAAGACGTTCTATAAACATTTGACCTTGATTTGTGACTTTGACCTTAGAGCTGTGGTGATGAAAACACAATACACCGTCTCCAGTAATATAGAAACTCATATGAAGTTTCCTTAAATTATCTTGTGCAGATGAAAAGTTATGCTCTGAACAAGTATAGACCTTGTTTTAACTTTGATCTTGATTTGCGATTTAGAGTTTACTACAACAACAACAACAACAACAACAACAACAACAACAACAACGACAACCATGTATGGGACAGGCAAGCAGCAGATGTGGCAAACAAAAAAAATTAGCAGGTTTATGACAAACCAATTCTCTAAAATTATAATCCAGAACAACAACAAAAAAAAAAGACTTTCACAGTTTTAACAACAAAATATATGGAAGTTTCAACTTTTTTCATCCTCCTTTCTGGATGTTGTGTGTCTGGGATGCTACCAACACAAAAGCTCAATGCCAACACTTGGTTTGAAAGGAACCCATATCAACAATAGCTCTGGTCAGGGTTACCAAACACACCTCTCTATGGGTTGAAAAAGACGGTTCAGTTCTCCTGATAGTTTCCGGCATGAAAGAGATAAAGCGGGTAAAACATAATGGATAGATGGACATACCTGTTCAGGGACTGCAGTTGCTGGTATGGGATCAGGGTGCTTCTCTGTCGGCCCGTTCCTTCCAACAAAGTGTTTAAAACAGATGCAAGTACTCAACAAATTCAGCCACAGAGTCGAATCCAACAAATTACATTTCTCTCTGCTTTGGAAACAACATGAACCAAATTCATAGCATATGAGGCTTGTCATACGCAACATGTGACATCAGAAGTGCCCATATGTCTGGCAAACAGAACTTTGAGAGCAATATAATATAGTGCTGTAGGCGTGGTTTGCGCTAATAAAAAAAACAACAACAGAAAAATAGGATCTAGGAAGCTTTGTTGCTACAGGACATCCAATAGTGGTGGCCGATATGCTGACAAGCCTCATATGCAATTTATTTGGTTTGTGTGGTTTCCAAAGCAGATTACTCAGGGAGAGAAATGTGATCATTGGATTTGACTCTGTGGCTGAATTGGTCGAGTACTTGCATCTGTCCGAAACACTTCATTGGAGGGAACGGGCTGACAGAGAATCACCCTGATCCCATACCAGTGACTGGAATCCCTGAACAGGTATGTCCATACCCACTTTTTCCTTTCAGGTCAGAAACTATCAGGAGCACTCCAACAATGTTCAGTTAGGTCATCTGAACGGTTTCTTTTTCTTTTTGCTGAGATATTTCATCCTTCATCCAAAGGACTTCATCAGTGTGAGAAGAAGCCACAAACAAACTGGAGTCCCACAAATACCACATTCCCATAGTGGGGAAAAAAAACAAGTTTGCTGATGATAAGCTGGTTTCTGGGGCCCGCCTTCTCCCCAGTCAACTCCTCTGAGGCGGTCATGCCAAAATGATTCAAAACACAAACAGTACATGCTCAATAATCCAGGTACAAATCCAACAATGAACTGTTGGTGTTTGGAACCATTGTGGCATGACTGCCTCAGAGGTGTTGGCGGGGGAGAGAGCGGGCCCCAGAAACCATCTTATCACAAGTAAACTGTTTTTTCCTCACAATGAGAGTGTGGCATTTGTGGGACACCAATTTGTTTTTGGCTTCTCGGACTGAAGAAGTCC